GTCTGTGGCCGCTCCGATCCTTCCTCCACATGGTCTCACCCAAGATGGCGGCTCCTGGAGCAGCCGAGCATCCCGGACTAGAAAGCAATAGATTTCTTGCTTCTGCCACAAATTCCCCCAGCTGTGAGCCTTCCAACCTTCTAAGTATTCCTTTATATGCGGTTCAGAGTTCTGGGACCAGCCCCTGAGCCTGCTTGTTTGGGTATTTTGTGTTGTTGTTGGCGGAGCTCTCTGCTATACCTCCACCCGATCCGCCATCTTGTTTGTTCTGCAAATACCTTTTTAAAACAACAAAAAAGACAATGATACACATGGAGCTCACCAGATGGAATACACAGAAATCAAATTGACCACATCTGTGGAAACAACCGGTGGAAAAACTCCATGTCATCAACCAAAACAAGGCCAGGGACAGACTGTGGAACAGATCATCAATTGCTCCCATGCAAGTTCAGGCTGAAGCTGAAGAAAATTAAAACAAGTCCATGAAAGCGAAAATATGACCTTGAACATATCCCATCTGAATTTAAGATCATCTCAAGAACAGATTTAATGCATTGCATACTAATGACTGAAGACAAGAAGAGTTGTGGGATGACATCATGAACGTCATACAGGAAGAAAGCAAAAAACATCATTAAAAAGGCAAGAAAGGTTCTCCCATGTAAACTATCATATAAAATTCACAATAAAACACTAAAAAAAAAAAAAGAAGGCAATAAAGAAGGAAAAGACCAAAATATATGTCAGAAGAGATCGAAACTTGCTCTTCAGTGTAGAGATGCCAAAGCAAATGGAAAAAAATGAAGAGATAAAACAGCTGAATAGAAAATTTCAAAGGGTAGCTTGAGACGACAAAGTCAAATATTATAGACCCAGAGTTTGAAAACCAAAAGGGAAGAACGTGCTCAGCATTTCTCAAGTTGAGGGAATTGCAGAAAAAATTCAAGCCTCGACTTGCAATATTGAAGGTTTCTATGGACAAAATGAACTCCTGGTGTGGCACTGTAGGATCAGCACCAGACTGTGAACCACAAGGTCAGCAGTTCAACCCCATCCGCTGCTCCTTGGAATCCCTATACAGAGTTGCTATGAGTCAAAACCAACTCGACGGCACTTAAAATAACAGTGGACAAGATATTGAATGATGCAGAAAGCATCAAATGTAGATGGAAGGAATATACAGTCACTGTACCAAAAAAAATGATTGATGTTCAACCATTTCAAGATGCAGTATATGACTGAGAGCCAATGATACTGGAGGAAGAAGTCCAAAGTGTAATGAAGGCATTGCAAAGAACAAGGCTCTAGGAATTGATGGAATACAAATTGAAATCTTTCAACAAACTGATGTGGTACTGGAGGCACTCACTCATCTATCTATGCCAAAATATTTGGAAGACAGCTACCTGGCCAACTGATTGGAAGAGACACATATTTGTGCTCATTTCAAAGAGAGGTGACCCAGTGGTATGCAGAAATCATCCAACAATATCATTGATACCACATGCAAGTAAAATTTTGCTAAGGACAAATTAAAAAACGGCTGCAACATTACATTGACAGAGAACTACCAGAGGTTCATGCTGGATTCAGATGAAGACATTGAATAAGGGATATCACTGGTGATGTTAGATAGATTTTGGCTGAAAACAGAGATTACCAGAATGATGTTTACCTGTGCTTTATTGATTGTGTGGATCATGACAAGCTATGGACATTATTGAGGACAGTTAAGTATTTTGGAGCACTTAATTGTGCTCATGAGGCACCTATGCATAGACCAAAAGGCAGTTGTTCGAACAGAATGAGGGAATACTTAATGGTTTAAAATTAGGAAAGGTGTGCACCAGTGTTGTAATCTTTCACCTTACTTATTGAGTCTGTATGCTGAGCAAAGAATCTAAGAAGTTGGATTATATGTAGAAGAACATGGCATCAAGATTGGAGGAAGACTCATTAACAACCTGCAATATGCATATGATACAACCTTGCTTGCTGAGAGCGAAGAGGACTTAAAATACTGATCAAAGACTACAGCCTTCAATATGGGTTTCGGTTCAGTGTAAAGAAAACTAAAATAAATAAATAACATCATGATAAACGGAGAAAATATTGAAGCTGTCAAAGACTTCATTTTGCTCAGATCAACCATCAACACTAAGGAACAGCAGTCCAGAAATCAAACGACATACTGCACTAGGCAAATCAGCTGCATAGGACCAAGGTGTGCCTGACTCAAGCCATGGATATTTTCAAGAACCTCAAATACATGTGAAAGTTAGACAATGAATAAAGACAACCTTAGGAGAATTGATGCATTTGAGTTATGGTGCTGGAGGAGAATATTAAAAGTATCACGGACTGCCAAAAGAACAAACAAATCTGTCTTGAAAGAAGTACAGCCAGCCTTAGAAGTCAGGATGGCCAGACTTCATCTCTCAAACTTCAGACATATTATCAGGAGAGACCAGTCCCTGGAGAAGGATATCATGCTTGATAAAGTGGAGGGTCAGCGAAAAAGGGGAAGAACCCTCAATGAGATGGATTGGCACAGTGGTAGCTGCAATGGGCTCAAGGGTAGCAAGTTTTGTGAGATTTGCGCAGGACCAGAAGTGTTTCGTTCTGTTGTGCATAAGGTCGCTATCAGTTGATACCGACTGAAAGGCACCTAAAAATAATAATACTATCTGTAAAATGGGCATAAAGTGTAATTTTAGAATGTTGTTGCAAAGATCGACACAATATACATGAAAGTTTACTAACAAGGTTCAACAAATGTCTGTGGAGTGGAAAATCAACAGTAGAACCAATGAGTACAAGGAGGGTCCAAGGTGCCAGGCAAGGATTTTAAAAAGTTGTGTACGGGACAGACCTTCGAGCTCCCTCTGCTCTCTATGAGAACCAGGGAGCGGTCGCGAGCTTCTCGGTCGTAATTCTTGTTCCGTATTCTTTACAACGGTTTGGCAGTGTCTTCAGGACCCAGACTATGCTTTAGCTCAGACCGCTATCTAGTATCTACCCACTAGGTCTCTATGGGCTCAACAATGTGATGCTAAAGCCGGAGAGCAACGTAGTTTCCTAGGCAACTACATAAACTTCCGGTTTGAGGATGTACCAGAGTAGGTGAAAGACCCTATTTCCGCCAAGTGACTTGCGCATGCGCCATGCGAGGAGGAGCTAGCGGGTCCGAAGCCCGCGGGCCCCAGTGAGTTCCAAAATTCGACCTATTGGCGGTGACTAAGGTCCGCCCCCGGGGAGGTGGTGCCAAACTACGCGGCCAGACCTGCAGGGACGGGGCTACGGCTCGCCTCTAGATTCAGAGCTGCACTGGTTGGGCTGAGAAACTCAGGCGGTCGCAGTGGTGTTTCTCTGCAGCTGCCAAGCTGGAGCTGGACCTGGAACTCCGCGGGGCGAAGGCTCCGGCCGCCGGACAGAGGCTCCTCCAGACCGAGGCTCCGGCTGACACCGAGCCTGAGGCAGTGGCAGTGGCTGTCTCGCAGCGGAGCGGCCACAGCCGCAACCTTCTGCGCTGGTTCACCACAGTGGTCCTGTGTGCCGCCTTCCTGGGGCTGGTGAGAGCCGGGGCTGGAACCCTCTCAGGCCGGGGGGCGTGAGTAGGCGTCCTGCAGTCTCACTTCCTTCATTTGCAAACTTTGTGACCTTGTGCTTGTTACTTAATATGCCCAAGCCTCAGTTTCGCGCTCTGGAAAATGGGCGCAATTCTGATTTTGGAGGGTTGCGGTTAAATGCGAAGCTGATTTTCCTAATATGTTTCAGCACCTGCAAGCCTTCCTATCGTTCCTGCGTAGGGCGGGGCCATATATGAGTGGTTACTCGGATTCACAGACACCATCTCCCAGGTCCATTGACCTCCAATTTATTAAACCATCTCTCCTAGAATGCCCTCCTCCTAGTGGTCTAGACCAATGAACCCTGATGTCGTAATGGTTAAGCGCTGAGATTCTGAACCAGCGCCTTGGGAGAAATCCTGGTAATTTTCTCCCAGTTAAGAATCTCAGTTTGGGATACCCTAAAGGTGCTCTGGTAGTGTAGTGGTTACGAATCGGGCTGCGAACCTTAAGGTCAGCAGTTCGAAACTACCAGCCGCTCCGCGGGAGAAAGATGAGGCTTTCTACTCCCATAAAGATTTATACCCTCGGAAACCCTGTACAGGGTCGCTATGGGTCGGAACTGACTCGAAGGCACTTAACAACAACAAAACAACAACAACAACAAAGGAGCTCTGGTAGGTAGTGGGTTAGGAGTTGGGCTGTTAACCAAAAGTTCAGCAGCTCAAATCTACCATCCCCTCTGCGGGGCAAAGATGAGGCTTTACAGCCTCGGAAACAGTATACAGTCAGGTTCGCTGTGAATTGGAATTAACTCGATGTCACACCACAACCAGGAAACCCAAAGGGGCAGTTCTCCTGTCTTACAGAGTCACTGTGAGTAGGAATTAAATTTAGGACAAATACGTGGATATAAGTCGAACTCCGCAGGCATCCAACAATAACTATTGGTGATGGTGTTTTGTGCCGTCGAGTCGGTTCCGACCGTTAGCAACCCTGTATTGGGTTTCCGAGAATCGATTTGTGAGCTTGAACTGCCAATCTTGCAGTTCAAAGGGCTTTGCAGTCTGGAGCAGTAACCCACAGCGCCACACCAGGACTCCATAGCTAATATGGCCTGACTGAATTCAACCAACTCTTTAATCTTTCAAATGGAGAAATAAGCTCAAGGAGGGAACGTGACTTTTTGAATCACTTAGCTGGTTAAGAGGTATATCTAGAAATAGCATGTCTCTTTCTCTGCATACGATCCTATTTAAACAGACCTTCAGATCTCAACTGTTTTTCTTTGAGAAAACTGCAAGGCTATAAGGCCTTTTGCCATATCCCTTAGTTGTCCTGAGATTCACTAGTTTCTGGAAACCCTTCTCTTATCATTTTGACTTTCTAATTGGGATCCTGGGTAGTTGGGAGTGTGAGTATTCATTTTGTTATTGTTGTTGAGAATGTACACAGCAAAACATACACCAGTTCAACAGTGCCTACACATATGATTTAGTGGCATTGATTACTTTCTTTGAGGTGTGCAACTGTTCACTCCTTTTCTGAGTTGTTCCTTCCTCATTAAGATAAACTCACTGACCCCTAGGTTCCTATCTAATCCCTACAGTTACTGTTGTCAATTTGACCCCAAGTAGATCTTAAAAGAGCATAATGCCTCAAGGCAGTGTGAGTCCTCCTACTTTGCTCTTCTCATTCAGCCTTGTTTTAGCTTATTTGGAGCCTCTTGCCATTTCATATAAAGTTGAGGATTGGTTTTCCCATATTTGTCAAGAAGGCTGTGGATTTTTTTATTGGGATTATGTTGACTCTATAGACTACTTTCAGTCATATCATGTCAACAATATTAAGTCTTCCAATCTGAACGTGGAAGATCTTTCCATTTATATAAGTCTTATTTTATCTCTTTCAACAGTCTCTTAGTGTTTTCATTGTGTAAGTCTTTCATGTCCCTACTTAGATTTATTCCTAGGCATTTTAATCTCTTGGATGTTATTGTAAATGGAATTATTTTCCTAGTTACTCTTTCAGATTTCTCATTGCTGGTATATAGAAAAAAAAACTTGCTGAATTTCGTCTGTTAATGTACCCTGCAACTCTGCTAGCTTCCTCTCTTAGCTCTACAACTTTTCACATGGATTCTTTGGGATTTTCTATATATAAGATTGTTGTTGTTAAGTGTCATCAAGTCAGTTCCAACTCATAGCAACCCTGTATAGGGTTTCCAAGGAGTGGCTGGTGGATTTGAACTGCCGACCTTGCGGGTAGCAGTCCAGTGCTTTATCATACAGTGCTACACTAGGATAACATATGTGAATAATTTTACTATTTCTTTTCCAATCTGGATACCTTTGCTTTTCCTCACCATATTGCTCTGACTAGGACTAGGACACTATTGAGAAGAAACAGTGAAAGTGGGTGCCCTTGTCTCCATTGGTGTGAGTAATATAGGTCCTCTTTTGTTTTTTTTTCACCACTTTTTATTGTGAATTGAGTGAACGTTTACAGAGCAGATCATCAGTTTTACATTCAACAAATCATGTACTTTGCTGCATTACATGGTTGCCATCTCCTCCATGTACCAATAGTTAACAGCATTTACCTCTGTTCACTTTATCCCCCCCGCCAACACCCGCCATGGTAACATTTTTTTTTAAAGTTTTATTGTGAATTGAATGATAGTTTACATGGGAGAACATCCATCCACTTTACATTCATCCTATCGTGTTTCGTTTCATTGTAATGATTGCAATCCCCTCCATGCATCATCATCATTCAACAACATTTGCTTCCATTCCCTTTGTTTTTTGATGTACACCGAAGCACTCAGGAATATACAACCATTCAGACAACCAAAGGGCACACCCCACAAGCCAGACCCTGGGCCATCAGCACTCAGTCCCTCTTCCTCCTGCAGTCCAGAGTCCCCAGCCACTCCTGTATGGGTACTCTTGAGGCGAGTTACTTCTGGTCTTCTTCCCAGACTGAGTCACAATTGATTTTCAGAATTAGGGTATTTTGATTTGAACGAAAAAAAGCATTGCAGATGGTTGGTGAGTCTTCTCAGTATGCTAGGACTTGATGTAAGTGCTTTGCTTATAGCTAAGTTAATTAGATGTGGAGGCAGCTTTCCATGATTGTACCAAGCCCTGATGCTGGTCCTGAATCCTAGGCTGTTCCTATTTAGACAGGGTATACAACACATGCATGCAGAGCAGCGTAATTAAAATCAGTTACTTAAAAAATGTAGACTGAGAAAAAATGTTTTAAAAACATCCAACTGTTGAATTTCCTCTGAAAACCAACTGTTACAGTTCTAGCTAATGTTACATTGTCTTTGAGCAAAAATTTAAAGTCATTCTGTGCATGTATATGGGAACACTGTGGCTCTGTAGGATAAGCACTGGACTACTAACCACATGATGAGAGGTTCGAGCTCAGCAATTTCTCCAGGGGATAAAAATGAGACTTTCTGTTCTTATAAAGATCTATAATCCTATGCAGGTTCTCTGGGGGTCGTAACAGACTCTACAGTTCTTAACAACATACATGTCGTGTTTTCTAAGAAAACCTTAAAACTATCTAAGGGCTTGGGTTTTCTTTGAGGAAAAACTTAGATTTAAAAAGTTTAAATTGTTTATCTGCCTAGCTCAGTAGTGCTAAATAACATTTTGATTGTTTGATAATTTCAACTTTTGATATCCAAATTTTTGTGTTAGCTATTTGTGTATGTAGTATGTTTAAAAATATATAAAACTTTCAAAAATAGTTTTAATGTTACAGTTTCTTAACTATTAATGCTGAATAGTCTGTGACAGTATTGTTTGAAAAAGAAACAATTGCAGCAAAAAGTCTAAAGATTTTTATCTTTTAAAGGTTTGAGAATTGTCAAAATTAGATAAACAATGGATTTGGTACACCAGAAGTAGGAGTCTGTAGCTCTAGTAATCCTAGTATTGTCGCTAAGAATTGTTTCTGACTGTGGGAGGTAGTGAAAAAGCTGCCACACAGGCAGTGTTTTAATGATTGTGAGCTAAGACTTTTGTCTTTTTGAATCCCAGGGTATGAGTATTGCCATCCTGGGACCCACATTTCAAGATTTGGCAACAAATGTGAATAGCAACATCAGCAGTCTTTCCCTGATTTTTGTGGGCCGTGCCTTTGGATATTTGAGTGGTTCTGTCATTGGCGGAGTTCTTTTTGACTGTATGAATCATTTTTTACTTTTGGGTAAGTAACATTGATTTTAGCATCCTTGTGAATTTCAGTGCATTTACAATTTATTTTCCCAGCAGGCTGCAGAATTGTTGAGAATTTATATAAACCAAAAACCCCAGTGCCACTGAGTGAGTCTGACTCTATAGGGCCAAGCAGAGCTGCCCCATTGGGTTTCGAAGGTTGAAATCTTTACAGAAACAAATAGCCTCATGTTTCTCCCATGGAGCGACTAGTGGGTTTGTACTGCCGGCCTTTGCATTGGTAGCCCAGCATTACACCACAACAGCGGTAGCGTAGTGGTGATGAATTGGGCTACTAATGTCAGGGTAAACTGTTTGAAACTACCAGCTGTTCTGCAGGAGAAAGATGAGGCTTTCTGCTCCTGTAAAGATTTACAGCCTCAGAAACCCTGTACAGGGTTGCTATAAGTCAGAACTGACTCCACAGCACATAACCACCACCACCACCTCCCTTGATAGAAGACGTTGTAGTAGCACAGTGGGTTAGGATTGGTTTAAACCCACTAGCAGGAGAGAGATGAGGCTGTATTCTACCATAAAGATTTAGTCTGGGAAATCCTATGGATCAGTCTTCCTCTGTCCTATAGGTTCGCTGAGTTGGAATCGACTCCACATCAGTGAATTTTTGGTTTTGGTCCTTAATAGAAGGGCTCCTTAGTGCCTGCTCTCACCTTGGCAGTTATAGGCGATCTGTGCTGAGCTGTCCTGGAAACTTAGATTGGCCCAGGATGTGTCAGCAAGTACCGGGCTTCCTGATCCACACTGTAATTTGGGCACTATCTAGATCATGCACTACTTGTCCAAAGAGCCCTACTTGCCAGAGTCTGGTACAGGTCTCCTGGCCACCGTAGTGTAGAATGAGCTCCTTGAACCTGTCCAGGCTACACCCAGGGCTGGGAATGAAGGGCCAGGGGATGATAGGCACAGTGACACTGGCTAAATTTCTGTTCCTGCTGTCTCAGGTCAGTGATGACCCCAGACCTCTCCCCTTATCCTTGACCTAGATGTCAAAGATTTTAACATACTCTTTAGAATAAATGATGTGTTTTAAGAAATTTAGATTAATGTGTAAAGTGCTTTAGAAAAGAATAATAATTTATTATTGCTGATGACTGAACTACTAATCCCTCCTCCAAAGTGGATTGAAAGAAAATATTTCTTGATATTTTTTCTCCCTATTCCTCAAACTAATAAAAATACAAATCTGTTACAAACTACTATTATTGCCTTTTGTTTTAACCTCATATCTTAAAATCCCTTTAGCTTCTTAAACTTGAAACATTTCATCTTAAAATAACTTTTTACCTTTCTTTTATGCTATAAAATTTGCCTAGAATAATTTATAGCTTGATTATTAGCAGTACTAGAAATATATTCCTTTTTTTACAAAGTTGCTGAAAGTTTTAAAAGAAGTAACCTCTTCTGAAAACCTTTATCTACTCATTACTACCCAGTTTTGTTGTTGTTATTGTTAAGTGCTGTCAAGTTGCTTCTGACTCATAGAACTCTGTATAGGGTTTTTGAGGAGCAGCTGGTGAATTTGAACTACCGACCTTACAATTCAAACGACTTTACAGTCCAATGCTTATTCCAATTTTAGTGTTATCTTAATTTGCATTTTTAGAAGTTTTTATGTTGAATGGATCCATGAATCTCTGCATGAATATTAATTTTATAGCTGATTTTTTTACCTTTCCTTTCAGGGTTGTCCATGTTGGTTACCACGGTTGGCCTTTATCTTGTTCCTTTTTGCAAGAGAGCAATACTGCTGATTGTCATGATGTTCATCTTTGGTACTTCCATGGGCGTTCTGGACACAGGTTAGTGGCATTAGAGCAGAGGTTACTAAGATGTCATCTGGAATACCCCTCAAATGACATTGACCTTCTAAATTCGTCTTAGGGTCAACCAGCTGGAACCATCTTTCTTTCCAGGTAACCAACCAGTTTGCTTAGAGTAGATTCAGACTCATGGTAACCCATGTGTGTCAGAGTAGACTGAGCTCCGTAGGGTTTTCTGAGGCTGAACTTTAAAAAAAGATTACTAGGTCTTTCTTCTGAGGTACCTTTGGATGAACTTGAGTCTCCAACCTTTCGATTAGCATCTGAACATGTTAGGCATTTGTGCCACCCAGAGATTCCCATCACCAGTGATGGAGCCTATCTTTGGGTGGCCAATCATGGAGTGAACTTAAAGAACCTTGCGCCATGAGAGATTGTTGATTTATTTAAACGATCAGATAGGGAAGGGCTCCTATGTAGGTGATTACAGTGCAAGTTTAAGGGATTGTTTTCAGGAGACAACTTTATCTTTTTAGTATAGGAGGAACTGATGGTTTAATAAGTTAGACCTTGTTGGGAACCATTATTTGGCAGAGGAAGTATAGAAGCAGCCACCCAGTTTTAAATGCACCCTGACTTTCAGGTTGAGAAAAACTCATGTAGGTTATTATTTTTCCTTTTCTTTCTTTTCTCTGATAAAATTCCTACCCTCCTGCAGGAGATCTTCCCCCATGTATCTTGATAAATTTTAAAACTGAGTCCTGGAAGCATAGTGGAGTTGGGCTGCTAACTGCAAGGTCAGCAGTTGGAATCTACCCATAGCTCCGTGGGAGAAGGAAGAGGTTTTCTGCTCTGTAAAGATTTACAGCCTCGGAAACCCTACACAGGGTCCTGTGAGTCAGAACCGCCATCATGACACGCGTCTACCCCCAAATAACATATGTCATCACATTTGTTTGTCCCTGTCGTCTTCATCACAGTCCCTGGGTGGTGTAAACGGTTATTGTGCTCAGTTACTAACTGAAAGGCTGAAGGTTTGCATCTACTTAGGTCCTTGGAAGAAAAGTCTGGCAATCAACTTCCAAAAAATCAGCCATTGAAAACCATGTGGAGCGCAGCTCTCCTCTGACTCACAGGGGTCGCTGTACATTGGAATTCACTTGATGGCAACTGATTTGTCTTGCGCCCTAGTGCTGCAGTTACAAATACCACAAGTGGGGGACTTTAAAGAACAGACATTTATTTTCTCACGGTTCTGGAAGCCACAAGTCCAAAGTTGGTCTTTAGCCATGTTGATGCTGTCTGTAAGTGTCTCTTCTGGTTTCTGGTGTCCTCTAATGACCTGCAGTGTTCCTTTGCCTTTAGTTGATCCCAGATGTCTTCTGTCTTCCCCTCTCTGCTCTTGTTAGAACCCAGAAGTGATTGGGGTTAGGATGTACCCTCACTGTGATGGCCTCATTAGCATAACAAAAACCCCACTCCCACCCACCCCCTTCTCCAGTCGTCGTCGTTTATGTGCCATCGAGTCGGTTCCGACCCATAGCGACCCTGTATAGGGTTTCCGAGGGTGTAAATCTTTACGGGAGTAGAAAGCCTCATCTTTCTCCCGCGGAGCAGCTGGTAGTTTCGAACCGCTGACCTTAAGGTTCGCAGCCCGATTCGTAACCACTACGCTACCAGAGCTCCTTCTGCAGTAGGGTCATATTTACAGACACTGGCTGACTGTGTGCTGACAAGTCAGGTCTGACTCACAGTGATCCTGTACAGAGTTTCTAAGACTATAAATCTTTATGGGAGCAGAAAGCCTCATCTTTTCTCCTCTGGAGTGCCTAATGGACTCGAACTGCTGACCTTGTGGTTATCAGCTCAGTGTATAACCCACTATACCATCAGGGCTCCTTTCGTTTATAGGTACAGGCGGGGGTTAGGATTTCAACACACATTTTTGTGGTACAGAATGCAATCCTTAACAACCCCTAAAACCTGCTCTCCCCGTCTCTTCGCTGCTCTACTCTTATTTCTTAGGTCAGGGAACTATGATCTACTTTAGACTTTTGTTGTGAAATTATAGGTTTGAGCTGTATGTTCATCTTCAAACCTGTTAAAAACACAAAAGCAGCCTTTTTGCCTTTCACCTTGTAGGTACTTATAGCAGTGCAGATGCTCAAAGGGGGCCTGTCTTAGTTACCTATTGCAGCTCTAACAAATACCATCAGTGGATGCCTATCACGAACAGAAATTTCCTGTCTCACAGTTCAGGAAGCTAGAAGTGCAAATTCAGAGCCCTAGCTCTAGTGGGAGGCTTTCTCTCTGTCAGCTCTGGAGAAAGTCTTGTCTCCTTTCAGTATCTATAGGTAGGCCCAGCATTCCTTGGAGATCTCCATGCATCTTGGCACCAATCTTCCCCTGGATCTGGTTTGCTTTATGGGGCAGGGACCCTAGGTCCAAAGGACACCTTCCATTCCTGGCTGTTCTTTTTTGGTGGTAGTAGGCTCCCTTTGGGGAGCACAGTGGCTCTGTAGGATAAACATGACTGTGAATCACAAGGTTAGTGGTTCAAGGCCACCATCTACTCCTCAAGATGGGATGAAGCTTTCTGCTCCCACAAATATTTACAGCCTCAGAAACCCTATACAGGGTCTTTACAACAACAGGTTCCTCTGAGATTTGCTTGCCTTTTTAATCTCTTTTTTTCTTCAAAAGTGTATCTCGAACTTGACCTATACTTACGGATGTAGTAGCTCAAGGTACCAACTGAGAGGGAAGGAGTCTTCCCATCAAGTATCAGTCGTATCCCTTCTGTATACAGGGTAGATAGGAACAGGCAACTTAGACACTGGCTACCTCAAATGAGGGACAATAGAGACACAAAGTGACTGGCTTACAAATTTTCAAAAGGGAGTTTAGTTTAAGAGTGTGTAGGGAAGGGTAGAGTCCCCACTGAATAGTTTTCATCTTGTCCATTGGGTCTGGTGAAAAGAGATGGGGTTAAGATTCTTATGATTCAATAGTGAGTAACCGTTATTATGACTAATTGCGACTGTCGCACTGTAAAGGTTTGTTGGTAACGAAAATGGGGGAGTAGTTAATCCTACAGTCCAGAAACTGAGGACCCTAGGACCATCAAGGGAGAAGAGCACAGGTGGAATGAGGGACCCTATCCAGAGAAGCTGCGACACTAGAGATGGAGGCAGAGATAGGGACATAGAAAGAAGAAGCAGCTGAGGACTCTAGACTCATGGAAAGAGAGGGACTGGGTGTTGGCCGCCAGAAGGCCAGAAGGCTTACAGAATGTGCCCTCTGGTTGTTTGAATTATTTTATATTCCTGAGTGTGTATTTGTACTCCCCCCCACCCCCCAAACAAAACAAAACAAAACTGAGGGAATGGAAGCAAATACTGTTGAATGATGATGCACAGAGGAGATTGTAATCATTGCAATAAAACAATGGTGTAAAGCCGAAGTTCTCCCATGTAAACTATCACTCAGTTCATAATAAAAACTTAAACAACAACAACAACCGTGTGTCTCAAGATACAACCTGATCCTGTAGATTGTATCACATCAGATCCCATGTGGGGGAGGTGTTAACATTTTATTAGATCTCCTCTTGGGAGATTATGATGTGTTAACACCAAACCACTGAGAAGCCAGGCCCATTCAAATGGACACAAAGCTTTGCTCATCGCAGGGCCTTATGCCCTTGGTGGACGCACCAGAGCCCTGGCGGGTTCAAACTCCTGGACTGTGGCTTGTGTCTGCTGTACTCATAAAGTGGTGGCCAGTCACAAGTACAGAAAGCTCTGGTGATTTGGCCACTCTCTGATGATAACATTTTGGCTTTTATCTAGATTTTTATTTATTAAAAACTAAAATATATATTTCAAGATTCTCCCCCAGCAGCTTGATGTTGTTGTTAAGTGTCATCAAGTTGATTTTGACTCATAATGACCTTGTTTTGGGTTCCTTAGGAGTGATTTGAACCACCAACCTTGCAGTTCAAACTGACCTTGCAGTCCAGTGCATTAGCCCACAGCACCACACTAGGACTCCTTGATGTCAGAAGTGTATTAAATAAAAGTGTTTAGTTGATGTAACCACCTCTAGGAGCAAGCATGTAGAATTCTAATTGTGGATGTGTGCTGTTTTAATGCTTACAGTTTCTCAGGGGCGGGGGAACCATGGGAAATTTAGAGTTCCTTAACCATAAATTGATTCAGTTGCAATGTTTGATAACTCAGGATATTATAAGCCATGTGCCACGTAAATAGGCTCTTAGACTGGTAGTAACAAGCTATACATATTTAAGAGTAATTAACTTAACAATAATTTTTATTCTCTTTTGTTGGTAGGTGGTAACATCCTTATCTTGGCTATTTGGGGAAAGGAAGGAGCCCCCCACATGCAGGCCTTACATTTCAGTTTTGCCTTGGGTGCATGTTTGGCTCCGTTGCTGGCCAAACTGACTTTCAGTACAACCGAGTCTGCCGAAAATGCCACAGAGGTTGACTCTGCCCTCAACTGGTCATCTGAAGCTGACTCAGAATCTGTATTTGGAGTACCTAACAGTATGAATTTACTGTGGGCGTACGCTCTTATTGGAACATACATTTTTGTAATTTCTGTATTGCTTTTTGCTTTGTTTTTAAAGAAAAGTTCCAGGCGTGAGAAAGCACAAGCATCTGCCCAGAGGTCTCGGAAAGCTAAATACCACAAAACCCTTCTTTGTCTCCTTTTTGTGTTCTTCTTCTTTTACGTTGGAGCTGAGGTAACTTATGGCTCTTACGTCTTCTCATTTGCAACCACCCATGTTGGCATGCAAGAAAGTGAAGCAGCTGGGGTGAACACTGCTTTCTGGGGGACTTTTGCAGTCGTCAGGGGCCTGGCCATCATTTTTGCGGCATTTTTACAGCCTGCAACCATGATTGTGTTGAGCAACATCGGCAGCCTGATTTCATCTGCTGTGTTGGTGATCTTTGACAAGAACCGAGTGTGTCTCTGGGTGGCAACATCAGTGTATGGAGCCTCCATGGCGACCACGTTTCCCAGTGGCTTTTCCTGGATTGAGCAGTACACAACCATCGATGGGAAGTCCGCAGCATTTTTTGTGATTGGTGCTGCTCTGGGAGAAATGGCTATTCCTGCAGTCATTGGAATTCTTCAAGGAAAATACCCATATTTACCCGTAGTTCTGTATACCTCTTTAGTGGCAGCAATAGCCACGGCTGTTCTATTTCCTGTGCTGTATAAATTAGCCACCTCACCCCTTGATCATCAACGAAAAGAAAGCAGAAAGAGTGAGGACCAGACTGCTTTACTCTCTAGCTCTGGATTGAATGACTGTGAAGAAGAGAATGAGGAGGAGGATGCAGACAAATGGAACGAAATGGACTTCGAAGTGATTGAAATGGATGATACAATGAGAAATTCTGTGATAGAGACCTCTAGAAATGTTTGCATGGAGCCCACCTCTGAGGTCGCCAGCTGGTCGCTCTCAGGTGCATTATTCTTTGAGGCCTCTCCAGTTCAGAGGGACAGCAACTCTGTGAAGCACCTTGCCAGAAACCAGGACAAAAAGGACTGACATGTCTCCAAGAGGACTGCTGAGTACTGACTCCCCTGAGGGACTGCCACTTCTGAAGAGGCTGGGCAGAGCCGGGCATTAGTGGCTTTTCTGCATATTTGGGGATCAGCATTTCTAGGTCAGCTTATAACAAATGCTGAAAAGTTTGGGAGCATTTTGTAATGTTCAATCTCCATAAAGCCCCAGGTGAGCTCTGACAGCAGGGTCTTGTTTATGATGCTTGTGGCAGATGATGAGGTAACATTTTATGGGCTTCATCTCTCAGAGCATGCAAAGATGGCATGTGTTTTTGATTCATTGGGTATTGTTCTAATAGGATGGAATAATTTAGGAGCTGAACGGATTCAACAAATGATCATAGAATCAGTGTTTTTCCAGGGAAGCGGAAGACAATAATTTCATAAAACAGCATTTCTGGAATTGAGGAGAGATTTTGAGTCCTGTTGCTTTACCCTATTTGTTGTAGGGTTGGACTGAACAATGGTGGTGGTGGTGGTTGTGTGCCACCGAGTCATTTCTGACTCTTAGTGACCCTGTATAGGATTTCAGAGGTTGTAAATCTTTACGGGAGCAGAAAGTCTCATCTTTCTCCTTGTGGAGCAACTGTTAGATTCAAACTGCTGACCTTGTGGTTAGCAGCCCAGCTAGTAATTCACTATGCTAGCAGGGTGCCTTGAGCCAAACAGTAATAACCAACATTAGACTCTGATTTCTAGACCTGGTTCTAAGCCTTGACCTTGTGGTTTACTAGCCTTCTGGCTCTGCACAAAGTTACCTAATTTACTTAAGACTTGTTGCTCTCATTTGATCTAAAGTCTGGGATCCTAAAACTGAAAATGAAATGATTTCCAAAGTGGCTGGAGCCCTGCTGTGGCCCTGGAGGATAACGCACTGGACCACAAGGTCGGTTTGAACCATAAAGTCAGCAGTTCAAACCCACCAGCCGCTCCTCAGAAATCGTAGACAGGGTCACTACGAGTTGAAACCAACTCGATGGCACTTAACAACAACAATCCGAAGTTTGAAAGTTTGTGCAAGATGTCTGCTAAAGATTCAGTGCTACCCCAGTCTTCATTTCAGATTAGAATTGAAACAAAAATGAAAACCAGCTTTAAGAGTTTGCTGCTTATATGTGACTTTAATAGATTTCATGTTTAATACTTTATTTGAATAATTATCTAAAAAACACAGTTTTTTTTTTAATACTGGCTTTCATCAATTCTGAGATGTATCCTTTTTCACATTTTTAATCTCTCTGAAACAGGATCTTTCAACAATCAATAGTCATGTAACATTGTGTCCAAGTTTAATTGACAGGTTTCCCCCCAGAGAAGTATATGAAAGAATGGTGTATTTTATAATCAGAGTCTTATAACCAGTGAATTAGTCATGCATTCAGCTATGAAGATTGTACTATTTTTACAGACCTTTTTTAAAAAGAAGATTATTTTTATATGCAGTTATTTTCCTCTAATTATGTTCAGGTGGAGTTTGGAGAGGCCCTGCTCTGACTTTACAGACTGTTTGAGACTTACTGTGCCCATAGTAGGGCTGTAAAGGGGCCTCTCGGGATCACCTCTGGATCAGAGTCTGCCCCACAGCCTGGTCCTGAGACGTGGTCCTCACAAGCACTGTAAGACAGCCTGCTCGTTTAATTTACAGGGAGACACCGTCTATTGCAGAGATTGCAATACATACAGCACCCATCCACGTCTCCTCCTTCCTGAGCTTCAGGGAAACCCAAGTAAAGAGTAGAAGGTAGTGTATTAGGCTAGGAATTGGCTCAGAAAAGCTATTTCATGTGAGGAATGGTAAACTGGCATGGCTTATCCTTTGATGAATGAATGAAATTGGTGGCAGATACTGTTCATCTCTTTCCCAAACTTTATACTGGATAACATTTCATTCCTACCTGGTCACAGTATAGCTTCTGTTTCTTATCTAATAATTTCTGTAAATTTGCTACTATTTTATCTTAACTGAAAAGATGAAGGGGCCCTGGTACCACAGCAAAAAGGTCAGTGGTTTGAAGCCACCAGCTGCTGTGTCCGGGGAGACCGTGACAGTCTGTGTATGTAAAGATTTATAGCCTTGGAACCTCAGGGAGCAATTCTTCTCTGTTTTAGAGGGTCCCTATGAGTGCTTATGAATCGGGCTGCTAACGTCAGAGTCAGCAGTTCGAAACTACCAGCTGTTCTGCGGGAGAAAGATGAGGCTTTCTGCTCCCGTAAAGATTTACAGCCTCAGAAACTCTGTCCAGGGTCGCTCTGAGTGGAAACTGACTCCACGGCACATAACAACAGCAATGAGTTAGAATTGACTCCATGGCTGTGGGTTTGGGGCTTTTTGGTAATAGAAACTACAACACCTCTCTTGATCACTGCCCATTCATCTATGTATCTGTCGCAATACCAATTATATTAAAAACAGCTGTGGAGAAGGAGGGTGAAGAAATTCACAGTGAAAAACCTACTCCTTTTAATTGTTTACTTTTTCCTCAGGTGTTGGCATTTAAACAGTAGCAGCTACTTGGTAACTGGAAGGCTTGCTGGGACAGGGGTTCCCATCCTTCAGCACCTTCTCTGAGAGGGTCCAGGATGCAGCTCAGAGAGAAGGAGGCTGATAGAACATGTAGATTTGGGGCATTCACACGCCAGGATGACCTTACAGGCTTTGTTAAAGTTTGCTACTGTATTTCTGTATTGGAAGGCAAAGACTTAGTACAATTAATTTCAAGAATTAGTTGGTCATTAGAATGAGAATGTAGAATTACAATTAGTTGATCTTCATTCTAATGGTCAGGTCTTAAGTAAATGTTTGCAGGTACTCAAGTAACCACTTGTTTTGTTCTGCTGTATATAGGGTCGCTATGAGTCGGTACTGACTTGATGGCACCTAACAACAACAACAACAAGTAACCACTACCCATATTCTATTGCTGTGTAACAAATTACCACAAACTCTACACACATTCATTAGCTCAGTTCTTGAGGGTCTGGATTCTAGGCGTGGCTTAGCTAGTGCTCTGCTCACAGCATCACCAGGCAGCAATCAAGGTGTCAGGTGGGCTTTCTCTTTTCTTGAGCTGTGGGCTCTTTTTCGGCGCACGTGTGGTGTTGGCAGTACTCAGTTTCTCGTGGCTGCAGGCTGAGCTTCCTGTTTTTGCTGGCTGTCAGCTGGGCACCACTCTCAGTTCCTAGCAGCCTCCCACAATTCTTTGTGTGGCCCTCTCATGGAGCCCAAACAACTCGGTAGCTAACTTCAAAGCCAGCAGGAGACTCTCTTGATCTAGTCTGCTAAGCTGGAGTCTTAAATATAAGGTAAGAACATCACCTTTGCCATATTTTACTGACTAGAAGAAAGTCACAGGAGCCTCTCTATCTTAAGGGGAAAGGATAGGACAGGGATGTAACTCGGGGGGTGGGGGTGGTTCAGGCGGTCATCATAAGGTGTGTCTGCCACAGTCATGTTCCTGGAAACCAGGATTCTCAAAAGAGCTCGACTTGTCAAACCAGGAAGAAGCTGGGTTGCCCTGTAGGCCACACCAGCCATTGCCAATATAGGGCCAGCTTTTTGGGGCCCTGGATTCACTCAGGTCTGTATGTTACTGTCCCTTGAGATTTCATTTTGTGCCCTTTGCTGCTGTACTCTTACTCAAATGTAGTTTAATAGGAGAGAAATAGGTGAATTTCATCTTATTCTAGTGAAGAAGAAAGACATTTTGAGAGTATTTTTCAATGTGTGTTGACTGCCATTTCTTGTGCAAAGTGTCAAGGGGTTGAGAAAAAAAAAAATCTCTCTTCCAGGTACAGTATCAGAAAAAACTTGAATTTTGTGTCCAGAGTATACTGACATTAAGTACACTGTTGGTGGGCTAGTGATTAGTTTGAAGGATTGCAGTTTATTGAAACAAACCAAAGCATAATTGGGAGATGACCAGTGTGCGGAGCCACACTCGGGAAAGAGTGTGTGCGTCTCAGGTCACACACACAATGCGTTTGGTGGAGCTGGATCTCTTAAACAGCCAGGATAATTTCTTATGACCACAACTTTTAGGTTACCATGGTGATGCACTTCCCTGAATCCTGCCACTTGTAAGTCTTTACTGAAATAGGGTTCACCATTTGTACTGGAAGTCGATTTCTTCTTCTGAGGTGCCTCGTGTCTGCATTTGTTAAGGCCACTTGTTTTGCTCATAATTGTGTGTGTGTGCGCGCGCACATGTGTTCTGTGTATGTGAACCCACAGGAATTTACTAAGTGCTTATGGGTATTTGACAGTCTTTTATACTGAGCCGGTGAAGGAAGATCAGAGAGAAAGGATTGCTAGGCAGGTGGAGATAGTAGAGAAAGAAGAGATTAAGATGCAATTAATTGTTTGAAAATATCTATTTTAAAAGTAGAGTTGTTTATTGAGATTACTATAGATTCACGTGCAGTTGTATGGGTCAGACTGTTGTGTTTTTAATTCACGGAGCTGAGCTTGCGTGACTGGAAGGGCAGACACCTAGACCAGTTCAAACCGACATTGTGGTCTAGTGCTAATCCTACAGTGCTGCACTAGGACTCCTTCCTACACATGTTGTTGTTCAGTATTTTCTAATTGGTTCCAATTCATAGTGGTTCTGGGTAGGGTTTCCGAGGAGTGACTGGTGAATTTGTACAACCGATTTTGCCGTTCAAACCGATCTTGTGGTCCGGGGCTTATCATACACCACTACACCAGGACGCCGGGTCATGATGGTAGACAATCTAAGTGCTGCTGCTTTATGATAAAAAACAGATGGTTTTTGCCTCCCTGGTGTGTAAAGGAAGCAAACTGAAGCGGTGACTTTGGTTGTCCGGCATATTTAAGTGCCTTCCCTAGCTCGTTTTGGTCAGTTGGCATTTGAGTGAGGTTAAACTTGAGTATGATATTTATTTTCCTATTTTTATAGCACAATTTCACAGTCGAGTAGAATGTTTATTTTCCAGTTGTGTGTGTGTGTGTGTGTGTGTGTGTGTGTGTGAATACTTCTCTTGGCTCCTGTTTCTGCCCTGGTTATGTCCCTGAATTCGGCCCAGGAGATGGCTCCTGTTCTTG